GACTCGTAAGTAGCAAATTATTTTCAATTATAACTCGAAAACTAAGCTTCGGACAAAATTTTGTAAAAGGAAAAATCGTCTCAGAATTTGCTCAAGAATATGGCATTGCAAGGACATCAGGTTATTTTGAATCACCCTGTATATCCCCTGTATATGTATATCCCTTTTGAAAAAGGACCTATAGTATTTCCCCATAATTCTGTTGGGTTTCTCATTTTAAACTAGAACTTGTTACAGATTCCTATTTCGTAGATACATATATTATCATAATAGCAGTCATTGTTACATAATCTACTGTGATAGCTAAAATAAAAAATTTTTTTATAATATCCTTAAAATTCTTCTACATCATAAAATTTGTGGATTAATATAATTATAAACCTTAATACCAATATAATTGCAGTACGTGATAAAGAACGTTAATCGTATATTTATGATCAGCTGAAAATATGTAACAGCTTGGCTATTATGTATTTGCAAAAATTAGAAAAAGTAAAACTTTAAATTTTCGAAATTTTGGAAGTGTTTTCTATTTACATACTTCAAAGAATTGAATTACTTTTATGCTTTTTTTTTTTGTCTAAATATAAATTTGTAACATTGTCTTACCGATATGACCGGTGTTGATATCGCTAGGATGCGAGGTCTATCGCCGATGGCGAATAAAACCGGACACGATTACCGTCTCGTGAAGCTTCGTTGAGCACTGCGAGGTCGGTCTCCGATACGCATCGAGGCTTCGTCGTTTCTTTCGCTCGCTCTCGGTCTTTCTCTGTACGGCTCTCTCTTCTTGTTTCCACGCTGCTACATAAGCACTAACTTGAGCTACGTGCTTCTGAAGTTACGCAGTGGGAAATATAAAAAAGAAATATATGAAAATGTACCATGCTTTAAAGATATATTATATTCTACAAATTCCGATATATAATTGTTGAAATTATAAGATATAAAGAAATCATCAATGAAAGAAGTTAAGAAAAAATAAAGAATCATATAATAATAGAAAAGAAAGGATATGCAAAATCTGATTTTATTTCCACCGGCTGACCGGCATATATTCTGCGTACGCCATTTTCACGCAGAGTTTGTAACGTCCTGCACTTTGAATTCGTCATTATTCTTTCCGATTATTTAACCTGGTCCGGGCTTCGACCACATCCTCATTTTACAAAACTTTTAATAGCACCGGAAGTGAATCCTTTCGCTTTTATGTTTATTTTTTTACGTGACGTATTTTTCTTTATAGAAAATCAGATAAAATTACAAACAAATTAATGTGAAACATAATGTAAAGTATATATGTATACAATATGAACAGGATTTCAAAAACGATATCATGAATAATATTATTAATTAATTAATTTTTCAGAAAGTAAGAATGATATCCGATTCTTTTGTTCGTTTTCATCGATCTTTTCTCTTCTTTTTTGTATAAAAAGATATTCTTTATTCTAAATTATAATTAATTATACTTGTTAAAATAGACTTAGTAAAACTTATTTATATTTGTTAAAAGATTGAATAAAAAGATGGTTAAATTCTTTGAACGTTGAATACGAATGAATGCGCTCTTCTTCGTACTCGTAACAAAATGTGTTTATTAATATTCATATAGCAGTGAATGCATCTATTCTACGGTGTGTCGCGGGAACCATTTGTTTTATTAACAGTATTCATGCAAATTAGACAATCCTGATTTATTTCTCGTGGGAAAGTCGTTTGAAAACGGCTAACTAGACGACGAATAATTGTCCAGAAAATTAACATAACAAAATATATTGATTGTACCGCGCTTCCATGTGCAGCATGGAACCAAGACCCGGCTCGGGGCGGGGTTAAAATATGCTTTATGTCCCTTTACGTTTGATTCTCCGTCTGCATACCTTTTTCCGAGTCATTGCCGTTCACATTCTAACGAATTTAGCTTCGATAAAAATTCTATTTCATGCGTCATACGGAATTCAATATCAAATTGGTACACTTGCACTTGAGTATATCGTATATCAGTTAACGAAAGTTAGGATACAAAAAGATATTGGAAGATATTGAATATCGCAGACAATATTGTAGGAGTATAAAGTCTAATAAGGCTTGTTTCGATATTTGGTAGGCGGTCGAATTAAATAGAAAAGTAGTGGAAGAGCTGTCTTGGGGCAGCAAGCTAAGTGCTGGATTGTGGTACGAGGGATCCCGAGTTCAAAACCCGGTCGGCTCCTTAAGTTTTCGACGCCTACAATATCTTAAAGATCTGACTGCCTTGCTGTTAACCTTTTTGTGCTTTTGTGCACGAAATCATAAAATTTGTGATGTGCAGATTAGAAAAATCCCCCCGATAGCGGACAATCGGACAATCCAGGCTTGCCTGGGTACAGGCTCGAGGGTTGTCCTCCTTTCTCTGGCCATGACCCACCCTGGTAGCTCCCGGCTAGATAGTAGCTCTCAGCCCCGTTTCAATGCTCCCCCGCGTTCGTAATTCTATCCCGACATGCGCAACGTGTACTCGCATATAGCGTGCAAGATGCCTTATATTCACTCATCAATTTTGCGCGCAATATGTAACAGGTGGATGACGTCAGACAGATTAGCTATCCCTATCCAGACGATATCAAGAAGTTTTTCTACCAAAAATCGTGCACTCCACGCCTCAAAATTGAACTAAATCAAAGAATCCAAAAATGTACAAGAAATGCAACAATCTTCCTATTTTTAAGGCCAAGAAAACTTATATCAACTGTGTTTTAAGCTTCACAAAATGTTTAAATAATTTAAAATCCAAAAAAAGCTACTAAAATTTTTAATTGTAAAAATGTAGCAAACGAAGGTTCTACATATCTAAGCCAATTTAATCCATATCTACCAAACATAAGTTAAGTAATTCATTTCCTTAGATTTCTGCGAGGCTTATTCAATTCCACATAGTATTAATATCAACTAATTCTATCTTACCTTCTGTCTCAGTTCGTTTATACCAACGTCGTTGCGAGGGAGGTTGTAGGGAGGAAAAGCGAATCGCTACTTTAATTAATTAAGTTAGCGTAACTTAAATGGGATATCCAAGTCCTACCACGAATTCTACGAATAGATGAATTTGCTTAGGCACGAAATACACCACGGTACAGGACGCAGATTGACAGTGAAAGTTAGTCGAGACGAGTCCACTCAGCTTCAGCAAGAAGTATACCACTAGCTCTCCCTCGTGCCGATCCATGAACATTCTCTCCTCGATTCCGACCCATCTCGCTTCAGTCGAAGACAGACCGTCGACGTTGTAACTATGGCTTTTTGCGATGTCACAAGTTTTTCTAAGGTTCTATTCGATTTCGAATGATCGATACGCGTGTTATAATACTGTTATGTATATAAGTAATCACGCGAAATTATTTGTCGACGAATTGTATTGTGTTTACTACGCTTATTCTGTGTTTGTGCATCATCGAAGGTATTTATTCAAAGAATTCGTGATTAAAATGCCGAGTGTGCTTCAATTGAAGAGCTTCAATTGAAGAATCTCGTGCACTTAGGAATTGAAAAATCTAACAGTCTTAAAATCTGAGGTAATATGCCTCTAATAAATTACTTTGAAAATTTTATACGGTGAAAAATATTTGGTGGTACATGTTCTCCAGAATCGTGATACACCGGGATGGCGTCGGTATATTTTTTTTCCACGTGTCTAAACACAACGTGCAGCGTGCGTTCTTCTAACTCATCACACTCCCACGGATGGACACTGCTTGTTGCGGTGCAACAGCAGCTGCCTCGAATAGAATCTTTAGTTTGACCTGAATACTCAAATCTGAAAATCTGTAAAACCGTCTTTCAGCGTTCTTTCATTCATTTCTGTTTCATTTCGCACTTCCGCTCCGATTTGACGCGAAATGCAAATTTTAAAAATTTGTAAATTAGTGATTTGTAATATTTTCTATTCTTCAATTTGATTAAATATTTACAAATCTTTGTTTTTAATGTTATATTTTATATTATTTTTAATTTTATAAGAACAATTCGTAACAGTATAACAGTACAGAATAATATAACTAATAATGAGAGACATTCGAAGTATCCAAATAAAGCAGAAAAAAATAAGTGATGGATGATAAAAAATTTATTATATATTCTAGGTCAAAAATTTGCATACATACATTTTAAATTGGTCGTCTTCTTTAAAAACTTTTAAGATTATTTTTAATTTTTTATATAAATATAATTATGCATGATGCTCAAGTTTTAATTTGTCTTTACATATAAAAGAAACTGAACATATCAAAAAGTAATAAAAGTGAATAAGAAAAACAAAATTCAGACACAAATTACCAGATAATATTTAACAAGAATATATTGAAAATAAAGATATGGAAGAGAGAGAGAGAGAGAGAGCTCAGCTCAGGGGTAAAAGAGAAGGGGACGTAGCAAATGGAAAAGTAGCACGAAGAAAGATGCTGACCTCGATACTTCTTTTCTTATATTTTATCGTACGCAACTTCCTTCGTATGAGAAGAAATCGGTACTAAATTTATTTACAATTATTATTTTATTATTTAAAAATTTATTATTTTAATCAGAAATATAATTTTTTTTAATGAATTTGTGATAAATTCTAATTAATGTGACAATAATATTCTGTACGAATTATATAACATTAATTATTAACGCGCTTTGATATCAATCCTTGGTGTACACTATGCGATACACAGTTGTCATTTATTTATACTATTATATCAGAATTTGATAAAATGTTTTTTTATCTATTTATTTATCTTTGTTTAAATATCTTGTTTTTTGTCTAAAAAAAATATCTTTGTTTTTCTGTCTAAAAAAATTTTTGACAAATATAAAAAGAAAGATAATATAACATGCAAGAATTTTTATTATTTTTGCTTTTAAGACTGTTAGATTTTGTTTTCAGAAGGAACAAAATTGTTATTTGATTCTCGTCTTTTGTAATTTATGTTATCCTCTTTTCCGCCTTGTGTATTTTGCGCTCGAGCATATAATAAAAGCATATCTCGTATTTCTACCCGCGCGAGGATACACATGTTGAAAGAACTCCAAATACAAAGTTAATTTTCAGGATGAACTTTCGATTCTCTCTTTCGGAACATCTTACAAAAAAAAAAAACTTTATTCGGTATTTGTCTGTCATCGAATCTCGAAGAAGTCCACGCCTAACATTCATGTACGGTCGCTCGTGTAATTGCCTCATCGATCTTCAATAGAGGTTGTTGTTGAGATTTCCGAGTGATCACGAAACATACAAAATTGATACTGTGGAGTCTAAAGAGGAAAGTCAGAAGGTGGAGGAGAACAGTGAGATGCTGCAGACAATGCCACGGGTATCCGTGGCTGGGGTGCGGAGAAAATGGGCCAACAAGTGCACCGGAAATCTTCAGGAATCCAGTCCGGAAGTGTCGAGCAGCGACGCGTTCTCGCCGAGCTTTCAAGCAGGTTCGGGCGCCGCTACACGCGAAAATCTTCAACTTTGGGATCTAGATCTCCATCGAGGACTTAAGACAGAACCGAACACTGATAACTATCAATCTATTACCACCAGCACCGAAAAATTAACTGTGACTGATCACTCTGCCTCACCATTCTCTCCTTCCATCCAAGATAAATGTAAGTAACACAATGGGAATAGTGATGTCACTGTAAGCAATGATGTCAATAATGATGGGATTGTAGTAATACCCACCTCTCTCTTGTGAGAACAATAATTCATAGAAGCTTGTAATTTTTTAATTCGGCGATCTTTGAAAGCCCATATTCCGAACTTTTGAAACTTCTAGATATGATCGAAAAGAGGACTTTTATACTTGACTTTTATTTGAAAAGTCCAGAATGACGAAAAATTACATGAGAAGTGCAGAAAATTTTTCATCATATCAGAAATGGTATTTACAAGTTGTTTCGAAAACTCGGCGAAACAACTGTTACATTCGATAATCGACCTTTAAAGGTGGCCGATCTGTCTGATGACTGACATTCTGCACCACGTTCTTCGGAGTTCGTTCATGATCCGATTAAATGCCTCGTACCAAATGTCAGTGTGCTCTAAGTTTGGGCGAAGCATCGTCAGAGTGTCAAGAGAAATGACGCCTTGCGCCTCGCGCCAAATATATTTACGAAAGATACCATATATCTCCTTCTTGGAAATAAGATAAATTTTGGAGAATAATTAATTATATTCTTCAAAAAATTACACATTTTATAAAATCGAGGAAACTTTAATAATAAATAATTCATAAATAATTCACATAAATTATAGAATTGTTCTAATTATCGCAAACAACGCGAAAACAATAATGATATGATGACGGCAACATTAATTGATTTTCAGTTTTTTAATAAATTTTTATATATTGTTTTATTTTGTTTCAAACGAAAATAATCGTGCAAAATTATTTAATGTAAAATTAAAAGTTTTTTAATGAAAAATATCAAGATATTGATGAGTTTTAGTTGTGCTATTGGAAATGAAGAGTTTTTCGTAAATCAAACTTTAAACACTTAAATTTATCAAAAACATGAAACTGTATTTAGTATGTAAGATTATACAGTACTTATCACTCATACTCAGTGATAACATACTCGGGATTTTCGTCCCATTTCACATTTCTATATTTCTGATAAATCAATCTTGTATGGTTTTACAAGTTAGAAAAGAAAACAAAAAGACAATATATCCTTTGACCACGTATTTGTCTAATACACATTTTCTGAAGACTCTTACACGTGAATCTGTTTCTTTTTCTTCGCTTCGTACGGATTCGCTTCGTCTACGTCTCTCCACTTCCTCTTTTCGCACGCTCGCTTAACCAGTCTAACACTCTGATCTCTGGAAGGAAACGAGGCAGTGCTCATTCGCCCATTTTAGCTTTCGTCTCTTAGCGAGCACAACGCTCGCGCGGTGGGAGAAATAGAGAGGGAAAAACTCGCCATTTGTTAGGTAAGACAAGAGAACAAGGAGGACACGAATGGCTGTGTGCGTTCGCTTGTATAGACATTCACCAAGAGAGCCAGAGTCAAGGCCGCTCACTGCTACGTCGTGAGAGGTACTAACCAACATGGAAACCTTGCTGAAGAACATTGAAGTCGGCAACGGTTCACGTATCGAGTCTTTCTGGGCTTAGCGTAGAAACGTACGCAGTTACCAATGATGACTCGCAGCCTATGTTTCTTGTATGAATATCTGCCTTTTTACTATCTAACACGGAAAAAACATTTGACACAATATTATGAACATAATGACAAATTAATAGTAACATTATTAGATGCTTTGAAGCAACAATGTGTTGAACCATATGTTAAAGGAATTCCTCAGCTTATATGAAATGTCTTACCTCATTTTGCATTATCTTTTTGTAATAGATTTCTTTCTCAATTTGAAGTTAATTTTTTCTTTACGAATGTTAAAGGATACCGTTAATTCATCGTTAATTCTCATTTTTTTATTTCTAATGAACTTTATAATTAAACTATTATTTTAAAAATGTGATGGAAGTAGAAAGAAAAATACAAATGTCATTAATCAGTATTTTTTTCGACTTCTCCTTTTGTTTATATTGTTAGTCAATATATCGTTGGTCCTTAGTTTTTTAATTATAAAGAAGTGAGATCAGACATATGATATCAGACATAAATATGAAAAAAATATTCAAGAAAATATAAACATTTATCTATGTTCGAAATATCATAATCTAAAGAGTGGGATATTATATTTAAGAATGTAAAAATTAATATATTAATATAATATTAATATAAATAAAATATTAATATAAATAAAAATAAAATGTGATTTAAAAAAGTAGACGAAAAGAAATCAAATTCTAACGCATTACGTTTGGACGTAACAAACTTAATATATTGCAATTTGGATGAAATATTTATAAAAAAAGATATATATAATACTACAATTCTTGACAAGTGTTCCATATGTATAAATTGAAAAAAAAAATAAATAATAGAAAACTCAATTAAAAATGGCACGATTATAATCGTGTCATTTTTAATCGAATCAGTTTTCTATTATTTATCTATTTCAGATATATCTATTTCTATTATTTATTTCAGATATATCTGTTTATTTCAGCTTTATCGTCAATCAATTTACATCCGCCCGCATACTATTTACGCATTCATATATCTAAACGTAGTGTCATGGATACGTACTTATATATTGTAACGCACACCTGTGGAACGTAGTCGCCCATACTTTCACCGACCATGACTTCTAACTTGCCTACGCTCCACTCGGCGAATGGAAACAGATAAAAGGGGTAATAGAGACGCGTAACGATGTCGCCGTAAAGGTTACGGAACCTGTCCATGCGGTTGCAGGGAAAAGTCGCTACCGCTGCTGTATCTTTCTCAAGAGATTGCCATTTCCATAGTAACATTGGGTATTCCTGACATTCCATAGATATATATTATTAATTTACAATATTTCTTTCAGAGTCACTAAAACGGATGAGGGTACATTTAGAATTCAATTTAAACAAAATTATTTTCCTGCAACAATTATAATTGTGTGGTCATGTTGATCAAATGTTATTACATTTTGTATGATAAATCTGACATTTCAATTGCAGGTCGGGACGAATTGTCTCAGCCAGGTTCAATAAACGGCTACGGAAGTAATTCCGGGGGTGGCGGTGGCAGTGGCAATGGTGGCGGCAACGGCGGCGGCAGTGCAAGCGGTGGTAGTGAAGCGTGTGACTCGAAGAAAAGAAAAGGACCCACACCACGGCAACAGGAAGAACTGTGTCTTGTATGCGGCGATCGTGCGTCTGGTTATCACTACAATGCTCTGACGTGCGAGGGCTGTAAAGGTTTCTTTAGACGCAGCATCACCAGAAACGCCGTATACCAGTGCAAGTATGGCAACAACTGCGAGATCGACATGTATATGCGCCGCAAGTGCCAGGAGTGTAGGCTGAAAAAGTGCTTGACAGTCGGCATGAGGCCAGAATGCGTTGTACCCGAGTATCAGTGTGCGGTGAAGAGAAAGGAGAAAAAAGCGCAAAAGGTAAAATGAGAATGTCCTATTTTGCATCGAAATGAGCTCCTTGATTTTGGAGATTCAAATTGATTTAGAAACGGCTTGCACTGTGAATTTCTTATGCCCTAACTAGACCGGAGGATGATCCTACTTGTGGCCTATCTGAGTGCATAGTTTGACAGGTTAAAATTATATTAAAGTTGACTTCCAATTGTATTAACCATATCAAATAATTTTTTTTATCCAATTAAATTGATTCGGTCGGTCTGTCAAACTATGCACTCGAATGAGCCACAAGTAAGATCATCCTCCGGTCTAGTTAGGGCATTAGACTCACAGATTTTTCTTACTACAGTGTAAAATTGCGTCGAGATCGATCGTCAGGCGACGCCAGTTCGTGGCTACCGAATTTCGACCGTCAGCTGACGGGAGCGAGAATCGATTCTGCGCGGGCGCGCTTCCGCTCTGCGATTATAGAAAGCGGGAAGCTTTCCCGTTATTTCGAGAAAGTTCCCAAAAGCTCAGCTTATCGATGAGAGCGAACCAAAAATCACTCTCTATCGCCGAACCAACAGAACAAGTCGCAAAACCGAGATTAATAGAGACAGTCGGATCGAGTCGTGAGATTATTAACTCTGTTAAATATTGTAATTTCTTCAGAATACATATATTGCTAAGTACTTTCGTTATAATTTCAGTGTTAAACTTTATTTGAAGTTCCATCCGGTCGAATCTTTTATCATTGCGGGCCGAGTCGATCAAACATTATTTACACACAGTTAAGAACAAGATCGTGTCGTTTTAACGGTAGAATCCGTTTAAATTAACCAGCCGTTGTTATATTGCATTTAAGACTTTTATTCGATAGAATACATCGCGTTGGAATCGAAAAGACAATCGCGGAGTCGAGAAAACGGAAGAATCTGTCGTTTTTCTTACAACAACAGTCATTAAACGTACGTTTTCATGTTACTGCAGGAAAAAGACAAACCGAATAGTACGACGATGAACGGTTCACCAGGCAGCGCCGGAATGGGTGAACAGATGGGCGTCAAAATCGAACCAGCGGAAGCCGAATCGTTATCCATGTCCGGAAGTAGCGGCATTCTTACTCCCGTCAGTCCTTACGCCCTAAAGCCCATCAGTCCTGAACAGGAGGAGCTGATAAACAGGCTCGTGTCTTTTCAATGCGAATTTGAGCAACCGAGCGAAGAGGACTTGAAAAGGATTACCGTACGTTTACCATATATGTGTATCATTTTATATCATAAATCTTGATATTTCCTCTAAGAATATATAAAAACGGTCGAAAAGCGTATATTTAAATATTCTCGTTGTTTTTAAAAATAATACAATAATAAAGATGTAAAATCAAAACTGTTATAATTAATTGTGACATGTGTTGTCTTTCAGAATCAACCAATGGAAGGCGAGGATGCGAGTGACTATAGTTTCAGGCACATCACCGAAATCACGATCCTGACTGTTCAGTTGATTGTTGAATTCTCGAAAAGGTTACCCGGTTTCAACGAGCTGCTGCGCGAAGATCAGATCACCTTGCTGAAAGCATGCTCCAGTGAGGTGATGATGCTGCGAATGGCGAGAAAGTACGACGTGCAAACTGACAGCATTATTTTTGCTAACAATCAACCGTACACGCGTGACAGTTATAATGTCGCGGGAATGGGAGACACCATTGAAGATCTTTTACGATTTTGCCGACAAATGTACGCCATGAGAGTCAACAATGCTGAATATGCTTTGCTCACCGCTATTGTAATTTTCTCCGGTACGTATATCAAAGTATCACTCTAACAAAAGTTTTCTCAAAGCTTAAATAAATTTTTAAAAAAGACAGAAATCTGATCTTATAAAGAATATAACATTTTATAAAACAAACATTTTTATTTAAAAAAAAAACTTGTACCTTGAATATTAATTTCATCATTGTTGTCATTCATATGTAATATTTAAATCTAATCATTGTTTTGCAGAGAGGCCCAACTTGCAAGAAGCAAAAAAGGTGGAGAAACTTCAGGAGATTTATCTGAAGACATTGAAAGCGTACGTGGATAATCGTCGTCGACCGAAGTCCGGTACGATCTTCGCTAAGCTCTTGTCGGTTCTAACCGAGCTTAGAACCCTTGGCAATCAAAACAGTGAAATGTGCTTGAACCTGAAATTTAAGAACAAAAAGCTGCCACTTTTTCTCGCCGAAATCTGGGACGTGGTGCCCTAGTTTCCCAGTGGCCGATCAACGGCGATTGCGCCGGTCGGCTGAACAAACTTTTTGACGTCGAAGTAGCAGCAGCAGCAGCAGCAGCAGCAGCAGCAGTAACGGCGTTGACGCATGGACGTGGAAAACGGCCTGCGCGACTCATACTAGTGCACCACTATGCCACTGCCTCACCGTCGCAAGTCAACATATTGTATCAGACGCCGTTTTAGATTCATTACGGTCATTTGTTCTTTCTCGATGATCGATCACTTCTAGATTTCCGACCTGGACTGATCGATCTTTGTACAGTTTGTAAAGACAACCATAAATAAGCCGGTCCCACTCGCATGTGATATTACGCGGATAAAATTTAGAATTTATGGCGGTGTGTAAAATAATACAGTTTGTTTAAAATGGATGTATTAATGACAATGAATGCAATGTAAAGGTAATTCAAAGGATATTCGCAGGGATCACCCTGAAGGTAAAGGTAATTCAAAGGATATTCGCAGGGATCACCCTGAAGGTAAAGGTAATTCAAAGGATATTCGCAGGGATCACTCTGAAGGAACCGCCTTCTTGGTCATCACGGTACCTCATTGTATGAAACGCTCATGGTATGAATGCAATGTAACTCTGTGATAAAAAAACGGATAGCTACTCCAAAGTATTGGAGTATGTATTGGGTACATGGATAATAAAAGATTCTGAAAACCGAGGCTTTAGACATGGTATTGAATCTATACAATCTGTGGAGCTATCAATTCTCCACAGATCTGTCTCTAAAATCTATAACTTCTGTAATATACATCTATCGGGGATCAGAATCATCTCTATCCATTGATATTCTTTCTCGTTTGCAAAATTGCCAATATTTGGAATGCTTACGTGAATACGCGAGCCACGTGGGACCGGCTCGAGAGTGAAGAGAAGGGTAAGGCCCCGCACGTTGGAAACGCGCGCGTTCCAACGGCAGCGGTGAACGAGAGACCCCTCTGTGGAGTGGGAACAAGAGCGAAAGATTATATACAGTTGTGAGAGAAAGGCAGTGGCGCGGCCCAGGCTGTGATACAGAACAGTACAGAATGAAGCTACCTGCAATTTACATTTTATCGCTATTTCCCTTACCTGGATACATCCTTACACACAAACGATATGTAAATGTAATGTATTATATGATAAGGTACTGATATATCGGACGAATCACGTTCGTCATTCATGAGAAAATGAATAGCGGCAAGTGCGTTTAATCTGAAGGTGGGAAAGGGTGGAAGGTATATTAACAGGTTTGAGAATAGGTGAATCGTGATAATGATGATGATTAATAATTTAAATAACGTCGGTAAATCGACGATACCGCTCGCGAGAAGAGAGAAGAAAGTTCCAGGATTAAAATCCTTAGTCATCAATAATACAGGTTTCTCCCAGGTTTTTGGCGGTAAGAAGAGCGAATAAAGTCCATGGACGCTGTTGAGCAGCGTTATACAAATGGCGCGTAAAGTTAAAAAAAAGAAAAAAGATACGATATGCATAACAATACCATAGAGTCTATATCACCCATACACATACAGCATAATATATCTTGCTAGGATGTACATTGTTTATACCAGAGAAAAGGAGAGAGAGCGTGAAGAAGTAGGCGTGTATGTGCGCGCGTATGTGAAAGAAAGAGAGAGAGAGAGAGAGAGAGAGAGAGAGAGAGAGAGAGAGAGAGAGAGAGAGAGAGAGGA